CACTCGTTTCAAGTTCACTGAGCAGCTCACTGATGGCAAGGCAAATGGAATCTTTGATGTCGTCAGCCTGAACTTGATCATCAAACTCGCTTAGATTACTCGTCGTAGTGCCGACTATAGTTTGCAAAGTCTCTTCCAAATCACTAGTGCCCTTGCAGTGGTTGTATTCATCGCGAATAATTTTTAATACTCGTTTTATCATGTTTCCAACTACAGTTTCAGTAGGATTAACTTTGACGAGAATTTTTCCCATACAGGTAACATCTTCAATGACATTTCTGTTGGAATGTGTTGAAAATAAATTGATAACTTACTACTACAGAATGAATTGCACAAAGTTACAGTACCTGACATTGTCATAATTTGCTGTGAGTAGATAATCTTGTAAGAAAACAACTGTCTTTTTGGCCAATTCGTGCGACCCGGCAGAACGACTAAATGAATGGTTTGCAATTAGCACAGGTTTCTTAATCAGACATGCTGTACTTGCCCTAATTTAATGTGATCAATAAATTTATCAAGTCCAGAAAATTTGGCCGCACAATCTGGAGAATCCATGTTGTTCTTGTTGATTACTGTCACATGAACTTTAGTGTTTTGATTCAGCAGGCTCTGCTGCTAGTTCAGACTGATGCACTTGCACCGTCTCAACTGCACCAGTCCTGCGTTACACTTGATTGCATCATCATTGCCTAAAAAGAGATAATCATGGATGGTCAAACTAAAATGTCACGTCAAGAATGCGGCAAATGCCAGGAAAAAATCCCATGTAATTGTTTATCTGCAAGACTGTAGACATGTCATTCTTGTAAATCTTTGTGGTAACGTTCGATTTCAGTAAAAGAAGCCCATTGTCATTGATAAAAAGAAAGCCAATTGACATTGATAAAAGATTGAAAACTGGCGTACCACCTCAACACCTAAACTGAATGGCCAATCCCTAATTTAATTAAGTACATGTCATCGATTTGCACTGTTTCACACAGATGAAACGGTATAAAACCTGTTTAGCGCATTAATAACTGTGGACAGTGGTCTGCAGTGAGCACGGTGACACTGCTACTGCACACATAAGGAAGGAGAGACAGGTAAACCCAGTTGCAGTGCAGGTAAGCAAGGGAATCTGGTGGCAGTCACTGTGTGTACCCAAATACGTTCAAACAGCTGCCCTATGTAAGGGGAAGGGATGCAAAGGCACGATTCACGGTAACTGTATTGGTGGCGGCTAACGCTCATTGGTCTTCTCGCAAAGAGATCCCTTGGCAATCGCAGACAGAGATCGCTAGCCAACTGATACAGACCAGTGATACCAGAGCAGAGAGGAAGAAAA